GTTGGTGCCCTCTGCAGGTATTTGTTATAATACATAACGTACTTAAGTTGGTTATGTTCATATTATGTATAGGCATATTACATTATGTATTTTAACAGTGTTGTTCAATAAAACCATGTAACGTAATTACTTGGTTTTGATACTTTATTTGAGCCAATTATTATTGCCTCATCGTTAGTTTATATAAATAGTCATACTAAAGCCTGGTTTTTTTTCACTTAGGTCTAGTTGTGTTACTAAAACATATCAGATTACTCCGTTGTCAAAATAATCAGTAGATTACTTAATCAGTTACAGCCCTAGATTAGTTAAAATATTTCAAAATACAACTGCATTGTTTTACTTTTTGTAATTAAAAAATATTTTGTCATTGAAAATTTCTTAAAAATAGTATTAAAATATTGTCTTGTTCTAGTGAACCAAGTATCTGTATTTTGTCTCATCTCGTGAGCTAAGTGTATTGTCACACCCCTAGTGTCGATAAGTGGTGATATAGCTCATAATTTTCCAAGTGTATGATATAGCTTTCATTCTTCAGGTCAACCATATATTCATGAAAAAAAAACAGTTTGAATAAGGAAAGCAATAACTTTGCCATGGTATCCTTTCAAATGTTAAAGTTGCCACAGTCGTTGCATGTTTTGCATGTGCTGCCCCATCCCCTCCCCTCCCCTGGAAAAAAGTTCAGGTTCAGGATTTTTAATTTTTTTTTGCTTTAACCCCTGTTCATGTATGTATGCATAGTTTAATACAAAGGGCAGGAAGCCAATCACACAGAGTACATTTTTCATTTAAAAACATGAGATGCAGTGGGATGGGTGGAAAAAACCTGCCATAAAGTCTCAGTATATGTTTTTTTTTCAAAGTTAAACTTGCATTCATTTTACATGGCTTTCTAAACATGCGGCTCCTTTGTGCGAGATGCGAGTGCAATGGTAATAGATGTCCCTCTAGAAAATGCGCGAAATATGTGTTCTGTGTGAACGCTTGGTTTCAGTTTTGATGTAAACAAGATCTTCTCTGCATTGATATTCTCTTTTCAGCAAATATTTTTAATTAACAACACAGCAGCGCCGCATCCAGTGGGTTCAACTGGATAGGCTAACAGAAACATTATAATGCAACGACACTTACATCGTCATCGCATCTCGTGCGCCACTGATAAGGCTGCCTCCATAACGCATACCTAAAATTCGAATGCAACATTTTTGCATTCGAATGTGGATTTTTATTTTAAATTCGACGAATATTCTAAATTCAAATTTTTTTTGACAGCCCTAGTTCAGCTTTTAATAACTTTTAATAAATTGATGTGAAATTGTATAAGTTTCATGATTTTAATTAATTAGACATGCTTTTTTGTAATTTAATAAAAAATGTAATTTAACCATTAAAAATAAGTTGAGAAAAATTAAAACGGAATCTAGAAAAATTTAAATGGAAAAAAACGGAATTTGGGAAAAAATAAAACAAATTTCATAGGGCTGTAGCGTCTGGACCAATCAGACACACCATTTTTCATTTGATTTAACAAATCAATTATTCATTAGATTAACAAACATTCACAGACCCCTCACCCAATAAACATACTGGGAGCCAAGATGTCTGTGAACGAGGCCCCGGACCCTGGTCCCCATGGTATTTGTATCATACTTGACGTTGTTCATTGTTTGCTCATATCTGGAGTCCCTAATCATGCAGATTTATGCTACAGGCTCTGTGTAGAGTTGTACAGTAAGAAAGTTATTTCCCTTAACCAGGAAATTAACGTTCTTAGAATTGACAGACAGTTGACCCTGAGAGGTCAAGTAAATATCTACAGCGGATCTAAATATTTATAATTAATTATAACTAGTTATGATTAATTATTCATATTTCCCCATGAGCTGATTCGCTACAGGGCCCTTATTAAGACAGTGGTTCTTAATCCTGCTCCTGGGGATCGCCCTCTCTGCACATTTTGTGTGTTTCTCTTAGCTGACACACTCAGGCTGTATCCGAAATCGCCCCCTATACCCTTAAAGGGGTGGTCTACTGGCTTTTTTACATCCATTCTACATCCATTTTTAGTGGTGTCCGAAACCATTATCGAGTGCTCTCATTCAATTCCACAATGCACTGCAAAAACAAGTGTACAACCGATTTATACTCAACGGCTAGAGAGCGTCTCACCAGATGTCGCCTGCAGCTGAATCATCCATCCATTCATTCATTTTACAATGCGGTCGCCCATGGCTTAGTGCAGCGTAATACAACACAGGTATAAATTTATTGTAAATTGATTATTAAATTGTTTAACTAGGGTTTATACATAATTTCCATGACATTGTTCAAGATAAATCCTAGCTGCCAGTTTCAAATTATTATTAAACAGCAAGCACAAACTATGCAAAAGCGGCAGTCCTTCCGGTGCACTCAGTGTCCGAATTCACTCGTTTTCATTCACTCCTTCAAGTGAACCGAATTACTGAACTAATGTAGGGAATAGTGAATGAGGGTATAGGGGGCAATTTCAGATACAGCCTTAGTTCAGTTCATAGAGCTCTCTCCTGACGAGCTGATGATCTGAATCAGGTGTGTTAAATAAGGGAGACTTGCAAAATGTGCAGAGCAGGGGTCCCCAAGATCAGGATTAAAAACCACTGCATTAAAACATTTACAGCCACTTACTGACATTTTTTGTTTCTTATTTAGAGTATAATTTCATTATTCTTTTTTTCATATTTACATATTAATAAAAAAATCTGGTGTGTTGTGTTTTCACATGCTTAAAGCCTTGTGTTTCTGTGTTGCTTTCTACAGATGGCAGGCCTCTGTATATTCTACGCCTAGGACATATGGACACTAAAGGACTGGTTCGAGCACTTGGAGAAGAATCCCTGCTCAGACATGTAAGAGATTCTATAATCCACATTTTCCCTCATGCTCTCTGGTGTATTCCATTCATATGAATTCAAATAAATAGTGCAGAGTCTAACAGCATATATGAATTTTAAGGTGCTGTCAATCAATGAAGAGGGTCTGAGACGCTGTGAGGAGAACACCAAAGTCTTTGGTCGGCCAATTAGGTACTGACAGGACTAGCAGATTTTTCTTTTTTAACCATAAAGTGTAATATTATGAAGTAAAGTGATGTGTGGCCAAGTATGGTGACCCATACTCGGAATTTGTGCTCTGCATTTAACCCATCCAAGTGAACACGCACACCGTGAACACACACATTTACAGTTAAAACACTCAATTGCATTTTGTCTGCAACAAGCCCTGTGAGAGGCCCTCTATAAACTTTTGTTTAAATTCATATTTTCTCATCCTATAGTTGTTGGACATGTCTTGTCGATCTTGAGGGGCTCAATATGAGGCATCTGTGGCGTCCTGGAGTCAAAGCTTTGCTGAGGATTATTGAGGTGGTGGAGGCCAATTACCCAGAGACCCTGGGCCGTCTACTCATCCTCAGAGCTCCCAGAGTCTTTCCTGTCCTGTGGACTCTGGTTAGAGACACAGCTGTTTGCTTTTAAATTGCTCTTCTCTGCTAAAATAAAGATGGGAATGGCATTTTAACATGACATGCTATATTCATTTGTTCAAGTTATTAACCCCCTTATATTCACAGTCCTTTATAAAAATTGCATGAAGTAACAACCTCTCATTTACAAAGTACATGAGTCACCCAGTTTAAACTCTTAGTAGCCTGATTTAACTTTCCTTCTCTTATCTCTTTACAGGTGAGCCCTTTCATTGATGAGAATACACGAAAGAAGTTCCTGATCTATGCAGGAAATGACTACCAGGGCCCTGGCGGTCTTGTGGACTACATTGATGAAGAAATCATCCCTGACTTCCTTGGAGGAGAGTGTATGGTGTGAAATTGTATTTCCCCTATGTTTTGTGACTGAATGGTGTCTATTCACTTGCATAATAGTAAAACTTGCTCCCAGTAAGATGATCTGTATGCATGTATTCAAATTTGGATATTATGTGTCTCACCTTAGTATGGTTTTAGTGGCTTATTGAACTAAAGTTATGGCACTGTGAAATATGTGCAGTGTGAAGTGCCAGAGGGCGGCCTGGTTCCCAAGTCTCTGTACAGAACTGCAGAAGAACTGGAGAATGATGAGATCAGACTTTGGACGGAGACTATTTACCAAAGTGCCAGCATCTTCAAAGGAGCACCACATGAGGTCAGACTTGTGCATTAGAAACAAAATTATGCAGCACGAGTTTGGTTTTGTTTGGTGCATTTGCATAGTAGGGAACACACAATCTACATTTTATTTATTCACAAAAACTTGATTTCAGTCTGAGAAAACATAGGCCTACTAGGAAAAAGTGGCTAGAAAGTGATTTTCGTTCCCACATCTGGGCATTACTTTTTCAATGCATTTTTGCATAGACAACAACCTTTTGGACTTTAGGTTAAAAGTTATCCACAAAATATCCCGCAGTTTTTTGTCACAATCCATAAATGAATATAATTGTGAATTTAAAAAAATTCTTATACTGCTGGTTTTGCTTGTAGCTTTATTTATATTCATTTTAGCAATGAAAAATATCTCTCAAACTGGCATTTATACATGTACCTAAATATCTGAGACCAGAATTGGTGCATTAGTGTATTCAAGTGTGAATGCAGACCATGAAATATGGAAAATTCGTAGAAAAAACACTTCAACTTCACAGAATGTCACCAAGCATAATTAAAGAAACACATTGTAAATTTAACAAATCTGTGATGTTTTATACATGAACATTTTCAGTAGGCACTGTGTAATCATAGAAAGATAAAAAAGAAGTACAATTTGGCCCAAGATGGCAGAAATTACTCAAAACGCTACCCCTTTAATTTTCAATAATGCCAAAAATGGACAACTCTATAATAGATTCATTACAGCTCAAAATCAGCCTAAAATATGACACAGCACATCTTTACTCATCAGTATCATCCCTATCACTCTCATCAGAGCTTCATCCTATGTGTGTCTTTCCTCTGTTTTCTGGGAAACATTTGCACAATATTGGCACTGACATTAAGGTGACCAGACATGTCACTTCTCGGGGACACCTATTTTGATGTCATACAACGATCATTCTGCGCAGCGCAAACAACTAACACCTGGTTATTTTAGGCAATTTAGAAATCCTGTGCAGAACGTGTCCCTGGGAAGTGGCACGTCTGGTCACCTTAACTGACATAAATCAGTACAACACAGTCTTGGAGAAATACAGGAACATCTTTCAGTCTCACATTTGCCTTGCTTGCAACTGCAGTGGACTACCTGCAACACACTTTCAGGGGCAAGATTTCTAGTCATCCAGGTCACTGTCTCATTATGGCTGCTTTTTAGTTAGCCCTTTTGCAGTGTTGGTACAGGGCAGGGGTAGGCAACATCAGTCCTGGAGTGCCGATGTCCTGCAGAGTTTAGCTCCAACCCTGAAAAAAAAAAACATCTGTGCCAACGCGTGATGTAATAAAACTGCAGCTCTTTAATAAACGTTTTTTTTTTAATCCATTTTATACAATCAGCCTTCATTTAGCAAGTGCACTCGCGCATAAACAATTTTCAAGTTCAACACTTTTTGTTTAGGGTAGAGCTAAACTCTGCAGGACAGCGGCACTCCAGGACCAATGTTGCCTATCCCTGGTACAGGCAGGGGTGTGAAGTAACGAATTACAAATACTCACGTTACAGTAATTAAGTAGTTTTTTTCAGTAATTGTACTTTTTTGAGTAGTTAAAAAATTGTGTACTTTTACTTTCTCAGTACTCACTACTCAATACTCATGAGTACTTTTTAATAGGCTACTCTTTTACTCTTACTCAAGCAGTTTTTTGGACAAGTACTTTTACTCTACTCACAGTACATTTTTTGGAAGGTAATGGTACTTTTACTTGAGTATATTTTTTCAGTATTCTTTCCACCACTGGGTACAGGGCATCACTTGTCGGGGGCATGGATAGTTCTGGCAAAGCTGTCGATGCCATGGAGCAAGGCTTTGTATCTTGCATCATTCACAGTTTCAGCAGATGACTGGCCATACTGGTGGCTCACATATTTGCTAAGTAGTTTAAAGGTCGACTGGTCCAGGGTAAAACTGCTACCCAGATTTGTAAATGCAGTCAGGTAATCCTCTTTATTTTGCCTTGGCCATAAAAGGCGCTTGTAGGGTCACAACCTGAGAAGGTATGGATCACTGTGAAAGTTAAAATACACGGTGTATCAGCTTCTACGTGTTATAAAATATGATTGACTATCATTATTATGAAATCCATTGTTGTGAGAAAAAAAGCTGACTAAAAGCTGGCTAAAGTCATAGGGACAGTTTTACTAAACACGGCAAATTAGCGCGAGAGCGCAATTCCAAAAGAGCACCAATGGGCGTGGACATTTCTGCGGGTGATTTACTAACAATGCACAAATTAAAGAACACAGACGCAACATCTCATTTACATATCGACCAACGCAATATACCAAGCGCAGCACAAATTAGCGTAGTCGCGAATAAACAATAAGGAAATAAATAAGCCACAGTACGTTGAAAAGAGGCCAAAAAATTAAGGGTTGCAACAGGTTTGATAGACCTGGTATTGCGAGACTCCTAGTTGAGGGTTCCAAGTCGTCTTTTATTTCCTGAAGCAAATTAAAAATAACATGGCATGGCGAACTATATGTTCGGATAATGTGTTTTGGCATTCAAAATAAATTAATATGTGTGTAAAAATCCTCTCCCTTCTACTACGCGTTCTCTGTTCTCTGCGGTGCCTCATCCTTGCAACAAATTGCATCCATTTCAAGCGCAAAATAGTTTAAGAAATGCTTTTTTTGGGCGTTAAGTAATGCCGCAAATACCAGTAATTTAACAAGCGCAAACGTTAGTAAAACGCATTGCGTGATTCATTTGAATACTCTCCTCCCATAAATTTTGCGTCTGAAAGGGAAACTCCTAGAAATGCATATTCAATAAGGTCAAGCCCAAAAATAACTGTGTCCATGCCTTTTCAGCGCCAATTCTTCACTGCATGTCTTTAGTAAGACGTGACAGTACTACGTGACCTGGTTTCTCCCAAGGTTTTTTCTCCATTCTGTCACCGATGGAGTTTTGGTTCCTTGCCGCTGTAGCCTCTGGCTTGCTTAGTTGGGGACACGCCAAAAGACGGTTTGCGCTGTTAGTGAAGCTGTTAGTAAAACTGGCCCATAGTATTTAAATTACCTGTAATTTGAAGAATCAAGATCTTCACGTTTTTTTTCACAAGATTTAAAAAGATCCTTCTTAACTGCATCATTGTCAGCACCTCTTGGTTTACAATTTTTCTATGGCAGATGATTCTCTCACAGAAGATCTTGTAGCTGGCATTGAAAGTTGGCTAATTTCTGAGAAGAAAACACATTAAAAACTAAAGATATGTCATGTGCCATAATTATTTCACAATGGCTTTTATTTTAAATATAGTATAAATAGTAGCAAATCAAAAGCAATTGACCAAGCGATTTAAGAAGCTTTTTTTTCTTCAGAAAGAAAATACATTGGTTATGAATTATTTCTATTTTCGGTAACACTTTACATTAAGGTTCCCTTTATAAAGTGTTTATAAGGGTGTTCATAAATGACTAACTCATTTACAAATGCATTATAAATCATTGATAAGCAGTTATAAATCCATGAATAAAAAGGGTGATTTTAATGCAATATCTGCCAAATAGTGAGCCATTTTTAACTCATGTTATAAATGCTTAATAAATATATTTATTAATACTTATTTCACTCAAAACTAGATTCTTGTTTTATTTAATGATGCAGCAAAAATTGACTTTTATAGTGAGACTGAAGGGTGTTGTATTTATGGTTCTCTCATTTACATCTCATGACTCATGTCGCTTTTTGTACAATGTTTCTACATTGTTTCTTACATGATGCCTATCCACAGCAATGATTAGAAACTGATATATTTTGTTATTAACGAGTTATAAACATTAATAACGTCTAAAAGTCAACCTTATTGTAAAGTGAACATCTGTGAACCATTTATTGAGTTATAAACATTAATAACGTCTAAAATCAACCTTAATGTAACGTGAACACCTGTGAACCATTTATTAATGAATTATAAACATTAATAACCTGTGAAAGTGAACCTTAATATAAAGTGAACACGTGAACCATTTGTTAATGAGTTATAAACGTTAATAAACTGTGAAAGTGAACCTTAATGTAAAGTGAACACACTAATAACTTATTTATTATTAATGCGCACACATATTTTATTGTTGATGCACTATATCAGTAAACACAACAACTTGAAACAACATTCCTGAGCATAACTGCACACAAAAAGTGGCTTATACAAGTAAACTCACATTAAACAATTCAGAAAAAAACAATCAAGTATTCCACCAAATTATAACTAAACATCATATCTATATGACAAAAATATTTGATAAATGCAAGCTCAATAAAGGCACCTAAATATTTATATATCTAATGTAACAGTTTTGAAATAATCATTAAATCAATGACCGAAAGCACCGTTACAGAACATTATCATATTAATAAGCAAGCAGTAATGATTTTTGATATCATGATAAAGCCCACTGTAACTTGTGTTTGACTATCCACACTTTCAGTATCTGCACGCAAGCGAACAATCCACGGGAGCGTGGTTATTTATTTGTACAGTAACTACATTGAACTAACACAGCGATATCAACACTTGAAAAACACAGTCTGCAATGTCACCTCACAGTTAGGTTACCTGTAAAATCAGTAAACACTTATGTGAGATTAAAATTTCACTTCAGAGCACATCGGAACAGTCCTAACAGCGTGACTTCTCTTGAAAAGTGGCTTTGTATCGAATGCTCATCAGCGTCAATTACAGGCTACATGCAGGCAACTACAGACACAGGATTTGGTGATGTGATGTGATCCTGAAAGATTATAATAAATATGTATTATATGCAATTCATTATTTTTTGTTAGTAGTAGTAGCTACTACTAAAAAAAATACATTGCATATTATATATATATTTGTCACAGATTGTAGTGAAGGGCTGTGAGGAAGTAGAATTCAGATGCAGCAGTACCTACTATTTTTATTAAGAAGATTATTGAACTCAGAGAAAAGTAGGAGAACAAACCATCCACATAAAAACAAAATCTGACAACCAAAGGCTAAAACTCAGGG